GTTCAAAATCTTAAATCTCCGAAAGTTCTTCACCGATTGCTTTGAAATTTTGACACAACGTTGCATTCGAATACGCGCGTGTTTTTATATACCTTATACCTACTATTATATACTGTAGATGTCACACCTGTGACAGGTAAAAACATGCTTTTTTTGAAAAACAGCACCATCTGTTGGACGTAAAAGCAACACACGCTAGCATTGTGAAATTAAACATATTACAAACGTGCGCTTTCTCTTTTCTTTCTTTTCCACTTAACCCAGTGTTTCTCAACCTTGACAATTTTAAGGCATGTGGACTTCAACTCCCATAATTCCACAGCCAGCAATGCTGGCTGTGGAATTCTGGGAGTTGAAGTCCACATGCCTTAAAATTGTCAAGGTTGAGAAACACTGATTTAACCAGACTGAGCCACAGCAACGCGTGGCCGGGTACAGCTAGTCTCAAATAAAATGAACAAAAGGGCTCTAGTAGGCAGAAAGTTACTACAGAAGATTAAATAAAAGACTTCTTCGGAATCCTGAATCACGTTCCATTTAACGGGGTTCTAAACATTTGGGCTGCCAGAGCAAAGAAGACTATCCCATGACTCATACATAGAGCTTCATCAGCACCAAGGAGCCAAGGATTTTCATAGAAGGTTCCACAGTGGTCAGGGTGGCAATTTAACTGTTACTGATGGATGAGCATCCCAGGGAAAGTGCAATTATGTAGGGAAGAGATGTGGTTTCTTCCTCTGCTATTTGCTTTCAGAAACAATTATTCTTCTTCCCTTTCTGTTTTGCAGTACTCTTAACGGTAATAAGGATCTGGTCTTCCCGATCCAGAACACCGGGCAACCTATTACTTAAGACATTCTGAAGATCACCTCTTTTTCCACCTCTGATCATTTGGGCCCATCTTTCACCCTTGGCGTAACAGCCCTGTTTGTCAAGCCAGCGAAGTGTTTCCTGACACTAACAAAAACAAAACCAGGAACATGGGAATTTTCCAGAGCAAGCTCTTGTTTTCCGATTCCTAACTTCATCCTTTGTCCATTGCTAGGCAACCCAAACGCAGTTACATGCCGTAACGGCAATAAGAGTAACAGCGGCCACAGTGGGTGTAATAAGATTATATCACTGCTGCCACTATTGTAAATTATGAAGTATTGTCAAAACAGAAGGTTCTTCAGCAAAAGACCATGGTCTAATCTGTTCTGGGGCTAAAGAATTCCAGGTACCAGGCTGCAAAAACAGATGTTTTTTTTTAAAGCGCATCAATTCTTTGGGAACCAAACCACTTGAATGTCTTCTCTTCCACTTGAAGAGACAACCAACACACACACAAAAGCCACAGGCCTACGTTCAAGCCAAACAGTCAGCATGGATAGAGGGAGGGAGTTATCCTGTTGGAAGACTGACTCATTTGACTAGCGCTACTGAAACAGAGATAAAATTCCTAGATCCACAACTGATGGGACCAGGATCATGCCAACTGTTCAACTTATATGGGATCCTTTCAGTGAACAAAATCACCTCCTATATCCCTTTCAGTCCTTACATTCTACTAAGTTTTATAGACTCTGAATGTAAATAAATGCTAATAATACAAGCTACGCAACAAATGGGCTTTAAAATTTAATTCTTGCAGCTTTCTGAATTTATCCTTTCTCTCCAAATATTTTAGGGGAAAAAAAGGAAAAGAATGTTCCCAAACTCTCAAGATGCTGCCCTTAGCTATTTCTTGAGTGTGTATCCCTGGAATGAAACCATGTTAAATCTGTAGTTTAAAAAAAAAAATGGCAGAGATAAATCGAGGAGAAAGAATACTCAAGAGAAGTCACTCAAGGAAGGAAACAGATTATTTCTCCCGCGCCCCAATAAAAGAGTTTTTGTAACTTACCACAATAATATTTTCATGCTCTTGAGTAGTTAAATTGGTCGCCTGAAAATTGAGATTACATTAATGTTATATTTATAAAACTGAGATCAGCTTAAGATTACATTTATACAATTGAAATTGCATTACATTAGCGATTACATTAAGAAATCAATGGCCGATCATGACCATTATCATCAATCTGCGTTGGTCTCAAGATCCATCTACTTTGTTCTCCCACAGGGGCCCATTTCCAATCAGTCTGGATGGAGGATCACCCATTAGGCTAACTGATGACGCATCCCTCAAAAGATCCAGGTGTTGACAAAGCGAACATGGCATATTGCAACACCTGTGACTGTTTCCCCCAGCAACATCTCCCATCTCTCCCAATTCTCCCGCAACCACCAAACCGGTGAACTCAACTGCTGATGGCGATTCAATTGGTTCCCATCTTGACAATAATCATTCACAAGTTCCCATCTACAATCATTCACAATAAAGGAGCAGAAAATATTTCAAAAAAAGAGATTAAACTATCAAACCAGATGGATAACCAGCCTAGGATGGTGTAAATCAGCTTCTCACATGTCTTTATTATGGGCCAGGATTTTTAATGGGCAGCTTTTTAAATGGTCAGTCCGTAACTTATGGATGGGGTGACCACACTTAAAATAATGGGAATTCTGGGCATCCACAAGACCTAGAGTTGCGAAGGCTGGACACCCCTATAATACAAGGAAAGGAAGGGAGCCACTGAAGATTTTACTCAGGTAGTTGTTGCCAACTGTAGGGGGAGGCGCTCATCTCCGTTTCAAGACCATGAAGCCAGCACTATCCAAAGATGTTTCTGCAGTCATGTGGCCAGTATGATGTCACAGGGCCAGGGCTTTTTTTCAGCGCCTTGCGCCGCCTTGGCGCAAGGCCGTGGAAAAAGGCCCGGCCGGCGTGGCCTTTATCGGGGAGGGTGTGGCCTTTATCGGGGAGGGTTTAAAATGAACGTAAGGACAAGAGATTTCCCCGCCAGGATCCCAAACTACTCCCGCACCGGTCCAAACTCAAGGCGGTGGAAAAGAGGGAGAAAAAAAGCCCTGCACAGGGCACTGTTTCCTCCCCACCGAAGTGGTACCTATTTATCTACTCACATTTACACGCTTTCGAACTAGGCGAAGATGGGTGCTCACCCACATTGCACGATGCTCGGCTCTCAAACCCGGGCTGCTGGCTTTCAGCCAGTAAGGTCAGCATTTTAACCGTTGAGCCACCACATTGCCTTATAACAGATTCTAATTGATTCAAAATGAAAAAGGTCTTCTGCAGTCACGACATAAGCCTAAGACTGAAAATCAGGCTTGTCAGATGCTATATTTTTTTCTATCCTGCTCTATGGAGTAGAGAGTGGGTCTCTGACAGAAGGCCACCTGAAGAGACTAGAAGCATTTGAAATGTGGATTTACAGGCGGCTGGGTTGACAAGATCAGAAATGAGGAGGGGATAAGCAGCCTGGGAAAGCCAAGGGAAATCATCAAAACAATTAAAAAACGAAAGTTAGAATATTTCGGACATGTGATGCGGCACCCAGAAAAAATACGGCATACTCCATTTAATCCTGCAGGGAAAGATTGAAGGCAAACGAGGTCCAGGCAGAAGAAGAACATCGTGGCTTCAAAATCTAAGGGACTGGTTTGGACAAAACTCAGCAGCACTTTTTCGTGCGGCTGCTGATAAAAACAGGATCGCCAACATGATCGCCAACGTCCGATAACGGATATGGCACAACAAGAAGAAGAAGATTCTAATGAAAAATCTCCTACATTAATTAGGTTTACTGATTCCTTGGTTAGGATCATGGAAAACAGAAACGAAGAGACATCATTGCCAGAGACTTACCTCTGAAAGCAACTTGGAAACAATTTCTAAAGGAGCTTGATGGATGGATTCATCCTGCAAAGGGGAGGTTAATGCCATGTCCACCAAAGTCCGGATCTCTTTCAGAACCACCTCGAAGCGGCTTGGATTACTGAGCACTTTCTTATACTTGTAGATCTTTTTCTAGGAAAAAAACAAACATAGATAGGATATTTACTTAAGGTTTACATCAAGGTCACGTCCAAGTTCTGTCTGCTTTTAGCTCTGAAGGCAGGTTGGACAACACTTCAATTTTTAACAATTTTTTTTTAAAGGAAAATTTTTGCATAACATTTTCTCCACTGGGTTTGTAGGAAACCATGTGCCGACAGACCAAATGGAGGAGTGACAAGCTGGATAAAGCCTGATTTGGAAACTTGATCTCCATCACTCCTCTTTGGTCTTCTTACACTGATTCGTTGAGTTGCTTCGATTTCATCTCAAGAAAACATGCAATTGGCATAATATCCACAAAAAGAAAAAAAAAGGTTTTCTAAGAAGCAGATCTTTTTAGCACTGGATAGAACATAATTAAGTCTGTATATGATTTGACCCGCTGAGTAACCACCTCAAACCATCCAAAGGTATTTTTCTACCCGTTTTTCCTTCTGCTTTCTGTCTTTCTAGATTATGAGTTTGGGGAAAATATTGCCTTATCTTGATATTAATTTGTAAGCCTTTCATTGTAAACAAACAACTATATATACGATTACTTGGAAGCATGTCTTTTATATTATCAAACACATCTAAACTGCTAAATTTACCCATAACAATGGTCAAATATACATGCCAATGTCTCTGTCCATCCATCCATCCATCCAACTATCTATCTATCATCTTGGAGGATATATTGATCATTGCTCTTGTTTTTGTGGATCACTTTTTCAAATACCAAAATACCTAAGTACCCACAATAGCTAAAAATAAATAAAAGAGAACATAAGACTCATCCAGCAAAACCAACCATGTTCAATAATGTTTGAAAATTCAGTTTTCACCATGGAAGATCGGCGGGTACTTGATCTTAAAAAAATGATTGGTCTTCAAAGAGATTGTTTTAAGCTCATTGATACCACATTTTGCATAATGCTACTTAGAATAAAATCATTTGAATGGCAATCCTACACAAACCATCAACAAGAGGATCCAATGTAAAATTCTTGCCGAAAAGCGCACGGCAAAAGGCACAACGCACTTTTTCTGATTTATTTTTTTTAAGTAAAAACAAATGTTTCAGACTATGTATTTCTGCCTAGCTGAAGAAGTTTAACAGAAAAAAACGGTCCTTGGTTCATCAAATAAAGATTGGACAGCAGGGGAGAGACGCAAAAGAAGTTGAAAATAAACATGAAGCAGATTTCAACAAGCTACAGCAGTTCAAATATCACTTCCCCATCACATTCCCCGCCATTAATTTACTCCCACCTCAGACTCCATGTGCAAAGCCAGCCTCCAGTGTAACGTAACAGAAGAATCCTGTTAGAACAGCTAGTGATGGCAGACAATGAAAAGAGGCACTCAAAATAATAACAACAGCATCCACAATAGCTTCTTCTTCTTCTTCTTCTTCTTCTTCTTCTTCTTCTTCTTCTTCTTCTTCTTCTTCTTCTTCTTCTTCTTCTTCTTCTTCTTCTTCTTCTTCTTCTTCTTCTTCTTCTACTTCTACTTCTACTTCTACTTCTACTCCTCTTCCTCCTTTTCCTTCTTCGTCTACTCCTCCTTCTCTTTGACCTTCACGGAGCTCTATAGCTACAGACTTCTAAGTATATACTTTTCTCAGAAAAAAATGTGATTGCTACTTTTGGAAGGACAGAGCTGGAGAGTAAGGAACAAATTGTCTGCCACTAAAGATGGGACAGGAAAGATTAGAGTGGATATCTGGAAGATATACTGTATTTTGAAATCGATCTTCTTCAGAGTTAATTTCTCTTCGGCCTCTCACTGAAGAAAACTGACAAGAAGAATCTCTCCCCCCAGCACCATCACCGCCTATCTTTCCGACTTCTGCTCCTGGCAGCTGTCGGGGCCAGAAGGATTTAAACCTCTTTGCATGATGCACTGTTATCTTCAGGAAATGTAACTGTAAAAATTACAGCCCAGCCCAGGAAGGGGTTGGGAAGATACTCATAAACCTCCAGAGACAAACTGTGGCATACCTTTGATTTGTTCTTGGATGTGATTCTGCACTTCTCAAAAGAAAATAAAAGGACCTGACTTGCTCCATGCAGTGAAACAGCTACTTGTGGGTGGGTGGGTGGGTAGGAGGGTAGGATGCAGGAAAGAAAGGAATGAATGAATGAATGAATGAGGGAGGGAAGGAAGGAAGGAAGGAAGGAAGGAAGGAAGGAAGGAAGGAAGGAAGGAAGGAATTAACCCACCCACTGCAAGGCTAGGTATCATATCTATTCTATTCATATTATGCAGAATTGAAAGTAGTGAACAGCGATGGGAATGATAATGAAGAGGAGAAAAAACCTGGAACTTGATTTTTTTCCTCCCCTTAATTCTATAATCACTACCTTTTTTTAAAATTTGTGCTGTATTTTAATTTTTGGAATTCACAATGAATTAAAAAAACAACAACTGATTACAACAATATTTATTAAACCTAGAATCTCCAGTAAAAATAATCCTCAATTTACGACCACAACTGAGCCAAAAATTTCTCTTGCTAAGGGAGACAGTTGTTGGATAAGATTTGCCCCATTTTACGACCGTTCTCGCCACAGTTGTTAGGTGAATCACTGCCGTTATAAAATTAGTAACCCGGTTGTTATAGTGAATCTGACTTCCCCATTCGCTTTGCTTGTCAGAAGGTCACAAAAGGTCACCACATGACACTGCAACCGTCGTAAATATGAGTCACTTGCCAAGCACCTGAATTTTGATCGCCGTAAGTGTGAAAAATGGTCACAAGTCACTTTTTTTCAGCGCTGTAGTAACTTCGAACAGTCACTAAATGAACTGTTGTAAGTTAAGGACTACCTGTATTATTGATAACACAGTGTGGTGAGGCAGCAGATTAAAGCCGAATAAAACAGGCATGTCTAAACGCTGTACATGAACTAGAAATGACGCATGATTGTTTTCCCTTCCTTCTCAACCTCTGATGCCAAGGCATGAGCCTCAGTCACTAGAGGATTTCATGACATCAGCAAAACTTTGACATGATCTCAGCTCGGTGGGTTGGGACTGGAAAGGCACGCAAATGGAAATAACACCCGCCACGGTGGGATTTGCACTGTCCCTTGTTGAATCAACAGGAGCTTTCCCAAAGGAGATCCATACCCAACACTGTCTGTTTAGCTGGGTTTTTAATCCCTTTTTTTTTCCTGACCCCAAATCCTCTCCGCTGGTATTCTCCCGTTTCTCCCCGAAGGAAGCTCACCCGAGAGACTTCAGCATTTTTTCCACGATTTAAATATAGATATCAAAACGGATCTTGTTTTCTGGGGGCAAAATCTTAAGTCTACTCCAATTCTCAACCACGATAGGATTTCGGCTTAGACCAGTTTCCTGACAATGACTTGTTTGGGGTTGGTTTTTTGTGTTTTTTTGCAGGTGTGCTGAGGCTAATAAAACATGCTTCAACTTTTCATAGGCTGCATCTGGCAGAAAGTGCTGATTTATTGTTGAGCCCCAAGAACATGCCAAGAAATCTGCAAGACATTCCTTCTCAAACTGCTCCATCTGTTTTCCTGGAAAGATTTAAAAAAATTCCCAAAGCTCAATTTTCCCCCCAAAAAACCCTACAATGTTGAACATTTAGACACTTATTCATAACCATGTACATAAAGATACCCAAAGATGCTTTTTCAGGAGGTAACTGTAGTTTCTTGAGGGGTTTTTTTTTGAAGATGTTTTGCTTCTCATTCAAGCATGGTGGGGAATGGAAGGATTTATATTCCTTGCAGACAGCCGGTCATTTGCAATCTTTTAGAGAGAATCGTTGAGGCCACTTGGAGGTTTGTCTGTGTCCCCAGGGTCACCTGTGTAGTGCAAATGGGTGTGGAGCCTTCTTGGAACTGCTGAAAGGACTGTGTTGTGGAATGCAAATGACCAGCTCTCTGCAAGGAATATAAATGCTTCCATTCCCCACCATCCAGTCAGAGATGAAGAAGCTCCTTAGATGAGCAGCGAAACGTCTTCAAAAAAAAACAAGAAAGTCCAGTTGCCTCGTGAAAAAGTATCTTTGGATCAACCAGGACCTGGAGGACTGAGAATCTCCATAGACATAAAGATAAGCCTTGCTGGGTTTTGCCATGCTTCCAAAGCTTAAACTGGGAACCTCATAAGATCTTTTTGATTTAAACAGGAGCCAGTAGACTGCATATATCAACTGCTAATTATTTGGCATTTAATTCACTCAATGTAGTCCTTATATTTTTCGTTCAGACTGCAGGACTTGTCCGGTCCTGAACCCAATTTAATGGGAGAAGCTAAATTCATTTAATGATTAGGTGATTCCCATAACAAGTGCAGTTGAATCGCCTGATCACTATGGCAAAAATGTCATAAAATTAAGGAGTTGCTCATTTAACTACTGCCTTGCTTAGCAACAGAAATAATTCTCCCAATTGTGATCGTAAGTCAAGGACTATCTATGCCAGGGGTCTGCAACCTTGACAACTTTAAGACTTGTGGACTTCAGCTCCCAGAATTCCTCAGCCAATAGGGCAGGAGTCTGCAACCTTGACAACTTTAAGACTTGTGGACTTCAACTCCCAGAATTCCTCAGCCAGCCACCCATTTACAGCATCACGAAAAGCTAGAACAATTTTCAGGGCTGCACTAAAGTCTTTGGTGGGTTACGGAGCTGCCAATATGTGCCTTCTTTTCCAAAATGTTACGGACGGGTAGGAGAATACAGAATTGTTTCCTGTTTTCCCACAATCCAGGTAGATAGAGATATTATCCAGAGCCTCCCACTGAATTTCATGACTGAATTGTGAGCCCATTCTGCATGACTCACGATACATTTTGGTGAAGATGTGGCACAGTGTTTTTGCTGTCATCGCCCAAGAAAGATCACTGCTCTATGTTCTCTAATCTGCTATCCTCCAAGTAGACCAGACATTTCTTAATTCCCATATCTGTGTAGAATAATGGAGATGGAAGGGATCTTGGAGGTCTTCTAGGTCCAA